AATACATCAAAATGCCCATATAAGTGAAGTTCTACTGTACTTAACCAACGGCTCATCACTATCCAAATCCATCACACGGTCACGGCTACTATCTGATAGTGTTTGAATTTTAATACGTTTTTTTATAAATCAGATTTATACGAAATTAACCAAAATAAAAAAGTAAAAAAATAATTGTCAAAACATAAAATGATAAAAATGCCTCTAAAACTATAGAGGGGGCATTATGGTCATTTTCATCATTCAAAATATTTTTTCATATTTTATTCAGGCACCTCACTAAGGCGTACACACCCACAAAATTTAAAATTGATATGATTTGTAAAAAGATTATTAAAATTCAAACAGTATTAGATAGTCGTGACCGTACGATGGACTAAACCATTAACTAAACTCAATCAAAAAAGAAATGTGAATTGAAATAATTTTGAAATTTTCCATACTTACCATGTGATTCTTCATGCTTTCTAAGCTTTGACTCATATTTGAATGCCTTCCCACATTCAGGTTCTTGACATACATGTGGCAGAGGATCCTGTCCACTACATGATGGAGACTCTTTGCTGTGATGTTCTTCTATATGGCGTTTTACGTTGCCCTGGTAAGTGAATTTGTGATTACAGTTATCCACAGGACACTCAAAAAATTTGCCCTCGTGCTTAAGAAGATGTCGGGTCAAGTGATCTTTCCTCCTATAACTGCTATGGCAACCATCTACAGGGCAAGTAAATGGTCTCTGCAACAATTGAAGTTGGGCATATATTAGAAATGCCATAAATGTACAAAGTCCGAAGAGCATATAACTGCTATGGCAACCATCTACAGGGCAAGTAAATGGTCTCTGCAACAATTGAAGTTGGGCATATATTAGAACTGCCATAAATGTACAAAGTCCGAAGAGCATATTATGAACATATTTGGAGCTTCCAAGACATAGTTAATTTAAAAGAAAAGGATGCCCAATACACAAAACTCCATTACAATACCTTACAGCTCTATTTTTTGTACGTAAAGGTTGAAAGAAAAGAAAACAAACCTCCGCGTGAATATGGGGTAAAGATAACTACTTGATGGAGCTTCACAGGTGGTCCCCCACTCTGATACTAGTCCATTCAAGACCAAAACCACCCCTTCGCATTTTGGAGTTCTATACATGGGATCCAATGCTTCACACGGCTTACTCAATTCCTGAAACCCAAACTCCACACAACCACCTAATTAACCAAACATAGTCGTCAAATCACATTAAGTACAAGAACAATAAAGGCACATTGGTTAAATAAAAGAACGTGCGATAAAAAATGAACAAAAAGTTCATAACCCTATCAATCCTGATTCTCTTAAATAACAAAGAAACTGGAAGTTCCCAAAGGATGGGTCAAAAAGTATCAACTTTGAGACTGAATTTTTTTTTTTCTTTTTTCTGATGTGACCTTTTAAACATTCACCCCCTTAAAAGAAAAAACTCCTTCAATGCAGAGGGTTCACATTAAAAGGAGAACTTTCCAATCAGTTCCTGAACCCTCATAAACAAAAAAACAACATAGATAATTTTTTTTACTCCTTAATTACCATAGAGAATGCAGCGAATTTCAATGCCATTTTTCATTAAAAACAGAATTCGCCTCGTAAACAACAAAAATAAATTTTACTGTATTAAAGAATTTGCCTCATACATTTTTTGAGTAGAGTACTTTGCCTCATACATTTTGAAAACACCTATCAGCTCATTTTGTTATATCGGTCCATACAGGCCAATAACTAAACACCCATCTGAACCAGTTAATCAATTCACATAACAGGAAGTTCAGATTGCTTACAAGACCTTATCATATTGCCATAAATAAACAGCGAGTAAATTCAATTGTTTTTTCATGAAGATGTTAAATGACAATTCAATCAATTCTTGGATTCAAGATATAAAAATTTATCCTGCATCAGCACCATTTCTGTGGTTCATAATATTTAACCACATTGATTAAATGGGCTAAATCAGCGTGACACCAAAATTAACCAAACTACATTCAAACGAAAAAAATACCTCTTACTAAAACATTAAAAAGCAAAAAAAAAAAATTGCCACAGCCAAACAGTATGAAGCCCATTATGGCAGACACAGAGTATTTATAGACATAAAGTAAAGCAATAAAAAGAACGCAGGAAAATTACAATTTATTTTCCAACTATAAGGGGAATCATCATATCCATTTAGAAAAAAGAATTTCATCTCATCGAAGAAAAACCAGAATAAACAGGCTTGAGTCATCACAGAGGAGAAGGAGAATTGAATGTAAAAGGGAATTTAGTCCTCGGAAGTAACAAAAACAAGAACAAAAAAAAAAAAATCATAATTGAGGAGCAAGTTGGTTATAAATATACCTCTAATGAATGGCCCTGCTTATGCTGTTTAAGATAAGCTGGCTTTCGAAAACAGGCACCACAATCCTCGCATGCCAGCTTCAGTCTCTTATTTTCCAAGATCTCCTCTTCATCTTTTTCGACCTCATTAACTTCATCCTAAATATGAGAGATGTAAAACAACCACAATATTTCAGTTAGTTTCAGGAGAACACAATAGAGATACAATGTATTTGTATTAACTACAATATATTTTTGTAAAGAAGATTAACTTTTATAAATGAAAGTAAGAATATATTTTATTAAATAACCCGCAATATGGGACCTCAGACTAGTGGTAGAGGGAGATAGTAAGAGAAAGAGACAGAGAGGGGTACAGTAGAGACATAAAATAAATAAACCAAGTGAGAAGGAAACTCAAACAGGTATTAAGCTGTGGGATGGGAGAGAGGCCTGGGTGTGCAGAGCCCGTGAAAGTCGGAGTGCAGAGCCCGTGAAAGTCCAAGTGAGAGCTTGGACGTTCATGGTCTTCAAAAAAAAGGATTAACTACTTTGTATTTGTATTATCCACTTTACCACAAAAATAGAAAAACTTACATGGTTTACTGCAATAAAGATAGAACTACATGATGAGAGAATCAATGGAGCATTTTCATTTGAGCATTCAAATCCCACTTTTTGGGATTTTTTTTTTATCATCAATTAAATATGTGGCCATTTAATTAATCAGATTGTCAAGATGCCAGTTTTAGATCAAATGCGGCAGATCACTTTCAAGAAAATAAAGTCCGTGATCCTTGACGCAATTAATTCTACAAAAAAAACACGGAATACTGAAGAAATAGAGAATAAATCATTAAATGAAGCAATTATATAACGCGTACCTTGTGTTCAGAGAGCATATGAGATCTTATCAGAGGCTTCTTAGACCTGCAAATTCCACAAATATCACAGTAATATCTCCTTACATCCTTAAATATTACTTCTCTTTCCATTTCTCCTCTGCCAATTCCTAGCTCCCAACCTTGACCACAACCAATTAAATGATATTAACTGATTTGGAGGGAACCCAAATCAATCAAAGGATTCCTGCAAGTATCTACGCTTCGATTAAGGGCTTAAGAGAAATTGCTCTATGAAAACCTAGATTCCAGAAGCAAGTGATCAATCTAGGGTTTCTTAAACCCTAAAAGACTAGGGTTTCTTAAACCCTTTAGGTTTCTTAAAAGAAACCTCAAAGATGAAGATATAAAGTTAGGGTTTCTTCTAAAATTGCAGGCTATTTGGCTCAATCTAAAAGAGAGATTCAGACTCTGTATAAACTTTTTCCTTCGTTTAAAGATGAAGGCTATTCGCAGCTAGGGAAGAGATTAACTCGAGCTTTATCTTTATCATTGAGATAAGTGCCCTACAACTCGCTGATGCGAAGCTATCTTCTATTGCTTCGAGCGACTAAAGGAGCAGCTAAGGATTAGGGTTTCTTCAAAGATTGACCGCTGGGATCAGAGCCGATACATTTCGGGCAATCGGACTCTGGCTCTTGGGCAATCGGACCCTGGCTCTTGGAAGAAGTTTGTCAATATGCAATCGGAATCTGGCTCTTGGAACTTATTCAATGCCCTTTAATCAAGAAAAATAAAGTTTATATAAAGCTGCAACCCTAAAATGTAGAATTACGAGTGCACTTCCAAAATCAACGTAAAAATACTTATATTTTCATAAAATTACAAAAAAACTCTAAACTTTCAAAAACCTCATCTACACCTTTCTCACTATTTATGAATTTTTTTAGACGAAAATACCCTTTACAGTAATCTTTCTACCATAATATAAATTTATATATTGCAAGTTCATTAATTAAAATACCGTAAAAATTTTAAGTACTATTATGGTACTTTAAGTACCATACAATTCGAAGCCAATTACGATAAAAATTAAAACCTATTATATCGGCATTTTAAGTATAATAAAAACTAGTTCATATTATACAACACTTAAAATGCCATAAATTCTTTTTTTCTTTTATATTTATCTCTTTCATATCTAATTGTATTTTTTTTTCTCTCTCTAATTCTTTTTAATATTTATTTTATTATTTCTCTATGCAATCTCATTATTGTTTTTTTACATAATATTTATCATCATCGTTTCTTTACATAATATTTATCTCTTTCATCTCTAATTCTCTCTCTCTTTAAATCTTTTTAATATTTATCTCTTCTTTCTCTCTCTCATTATTTTTTATCTCTTATTTCTCTCTTTACAATCTCATCATCGTTTCCTTAGATAGGTCATATCCTCTATTTTGCATGGCCGAAGTCAGTTTTTTATTACTCATACGAGTCAATATGGACACAACAAAATATCCCAATTAAGGAGAGAAAAGATCTAAAAAGAGAAATAAGATAAATATTTAAAAAAAATTCGAGAGATAAAGAAGAGATAAAATTATAGATGAAATAAATAAATATAAGGAAAAAATATTTACGCATGGGTTAGTTTTCACTGTACATGTTGTATAATGGGTTTTAGTTTTGGGAAAGTTTGATAGGTTCTCCTACAACATAGAAGTTATATCTTCCTCTTTATCCAACTGTCTATTTTTTAATGGAGGGCTAAGATTGCCCCAATCACAATGTCACATCTTTCTACTGTTTTATTTTTAATTTTTTTTCTATAAACTATTTTGACACCAAATTTTGGATGTCCATTCCTCTATTAAACTCGGGCTAACAAAAAATATAAAAATATATATTTTTTCAATAAAATAAAATGACCAAAAATACCCCCAAAAGCTTCAAGGGATATTTTGGTCATTATTTTTTATCAAAAAATTATTGTTAATATTTTTTATAGGTGTGCCCCAATGAGAAGATAGCACGTACCAAATTTCATATTCAAACAATATGTATTAAAAAAATTAAAAATAAAATACTTTGAGACGTCGAATTTAAGATCAAACGGTGAGTGGCTCTCTTGATAAAAAATGGACGGCTGGATGGTAGGGGAAGGATAGAACTTTTATGTTGTAGGGGAACATAGAAAGCTTTCCTTTTAGTTTTTACAGTAGTTAAAGTACAGTTTTACAGTACTTAAAGTACCGTACTAGTATTGCTTAAAAGTTTTACTGAATTTTAATTACCGTAAAACTTACAATATATATTACGGTATAAAGGCTACCTATGAAAGGCATTTTCATCCAAAAAACCCGAAAATTGTGATAAAGGATATAGACGAGATTTTTGAAAGTTTGCGGTGTTTTTTCACTTTTACAAAAAATATAGGTATACTTGCGATAATTTTTCAAGGTTTTCTTAATGTTGAAAAACCCTCTATTTGATCATCTCAATATCAAGATGTATAAATATGAAAGAAAAAAGATTTTGAGTCCCAAAAATAAAGCATCTTACAATACATTATCTAGACTGTCCATTTTTAAGATTTTCATATGTTTATACATCTATTTGTTTTTAACTATTTTTGGAGTTTAAAATTTTATAATTAGATATAAAAATAGATTTTGAGATAATCCTAAGATTTTTTTATACCAAAATTACATGTTATAATAAAATTTGGAGGTACACCTAATTGGATTGTTCAAAGTTGCAACCTTATAGCCTTTACTCAATGGCTATTGGGGCATGATAATTAGCTGTGTTCACGGGTCAGGGAAGGCTCAGGCTGGCATGGACCTGGACCTGATGAGATTGGGTCAGCCTCGATCAAGACCTATGTCTCATACAGTTCGAGATTGGGTCAACCTCCAACAAGACCTATGTCTCATACAGTTCATTGGACCCAAATTGGGTTGGATTGCGTTTCAAACGTAGATAAAAGAAATACAAATTCTATTACAATTTTTAAAATATAAAACTAATATCGTATATATGTAACAAGGTCGGATAGATCTAGACCTAGACTGAACTCAGGACAGTCCAAATGATTTGAACCTAACCTAATACACAGGGTTCAATATTCAAGTCTAGACTCAGACCTACATTGTGTTGCCGCGACCAAATAGCCGGCCCCTAACCTAGATGATAATACCAAATTATATTATTGTGTGCAGTGGCCCACCATCCTTGTTTCATAATGTTGCAATGGTCATTTTAAACACTAGACGGATGAGGAGGGCTAGTGAACTGTACAAAACCAAAAAGATACATCATCAGTTCAAGGCTTCGGCTTGATGGTTAGTTGTTGATAATTACAAATACTACATCGTAACCATTGACAACTTGATAAAAAGGGAGAAAATCTTGGCTAATGTCTGTTTACTGTGTAAACTGATAGGGAGTCGGGTGCACACTTATTTATTCATTGTTCTTTTACCACACGAATTTGGAACTAGTTTTTTGGCACTCTTGGGTTCATACGGTGCTTCTTCAATCGGTTTAAGGGATTGTTTCTCAATTCTCTACCGCCCATTTGCCTGTGACAAGTAAATCAATTTGGAAAATCTTTAAAGTTGTCATCCTTTGAGAAACTTGGATAGAGAGGAATAGAAGAACCTTTGAAGATAACTCTCTACCTTTTGAGAACTTTTAACCAACATCAAGCACTCAATGTGGTTATGGTTGTCTGCGACAAAAGAAAGGTGGGGGATTTCAAAAGTTGATGTGATGGCAAACCTTAGCACCCTCTTTCTCCTTGGGTGTGCTCGTAGTAGACCACGATATTTTTGAACTGCACATTTTGTTGGAAGTATTAAGCTTAACTTTGATGGGAGTTCTATGGGAATTTAGGTATTGCTGGAATTGGTGGTGTAGTGCGTGATTCCTTGGGTCCCACAATTCGCTCTTTTGCTGGTCCGATTGGGGTCAAAACAACAAATTATGTTGAATTAAGTGTTCTTTTGTGTGAGGTGAAAATTTTGTTTGAGAAGAATCTGAGAACAAATGTTTGGGTTGAAGGGGATTCTTTGAATGTGATTAAGTGGTGCAAAAAAAAACAGCGGGTTAAGAGCTCCGTTCTCTTTGGTTGCAAATCATGGATCTGGTTGAACCATTTTTTTTTTCCTTCTCTCATATTTACCGAGAAGCATACTCTGACTCTTTGACTCTTTGGCTAAAGGAGGTGTTTCATTGCTTTCGCTTTTGATCTCTTCTGCTGTAATTTCTTTTAATTAATCATCCATAAAAGTTTTGAACATTTGTCCCAAAAAAAAAAAATTGATTTCTACCACTGAACCACCCGAAACCCGACACATTTGCCTGGTCGTGACATTAGAATAAAGGCAAGTATCTGAATATGAACCAAGGACTCCTGAATAAGATGTTAGTTGTGGATAGTGCGACTTCATATACGAAACACAGTTTAGTTGGGTGTTTGGTGGAAGATATATAACGACGCTTATTTTGATATTCGGACCCATTCAAGATCTCATAATTACCCATTTTTGTTTGGCATGAAAGAGGCAAGGTTTGCATAACGCCGCAATGACATTACAAGTGAACAAGAAGGGTCTGTTATATAAAAGAAATGAATGCTATATTGGATAAGGAGCCGGTTTCTATGCGGCAAGCCCGCATATGTAGAAATGTGCGCTTATTAAAAAATCCATTTTTGAGATGGATTTTTTACTTAATTTTTAAAGACACGTAATCTCTAACATGGGAATAAAAAATAAGTAAATTTTAACAACTAAAAATAATAATTCTAGTAAGAACATTTGGACCATTATTTTCTTTGTTTTTAGATGGAACTCCTACTTGCATCCATCTTTAAGATGGATGCTTTATACTTTTGGACCGCATATGTAGAAATGCAATCCAACCCACATGAAACAATTTTCCATTGGAAAAACAAGAATGGTGGCAAAGAACAAAGAAAACATGGACAAACATTTGTCCAAATAGAAAAAACCATAATTATCAAATCAATACCAGATGCCTTGGGTCTACAGCAAAAATCCAATTTGATTAAAAACTGATATAAATCAGCATTTGACCAATTTTGATTGATCAGACCATCCAATTTTAACTAAATCGACCAGCTGAACAAAGATGAGAAACTCCTTTTTAATATGTTTCACATTTTTTAACTGAATTTTTCTTTTTTCTTTTTTCTTTTTTTTTTAAATATGGTCTGTCCAGTTTCCATCTGCAATCGAACAAGTTCCCGCACCGATCCAGTGGCCAAAAATACTAAAATTTACAAAACCATACGGACAGCCATAAATCTTAAATCGCATATTGTGTCGAGTTTGTGTACAATGAAAATTCAGTTTCCTACAGTTACTTGGCATTACCCCAAGTGTCAATGCCAACACAATCACAGATGTCTGGTTTGTCTTGCTCCTACAACTATATCAATGTCAATAAAACTCACTCTCCAACTGACATCTCGGCCATTGCTGTTGAGTTCTGCCTAGGTGCTGTCAAATAACTGTACGAAAGTTGTTTATTCAACTTACAAAAGCAGGCTACCCAAAAAAAGAATAAAAAAATTACCCAAAAGAAGCAGGCCATAAGTTCAGTTTTACATGAAGCACCAAGTCGTAGCCATTCCCGTTGGAAGGGCCGCAGCAACAACTTTTTGGAATCATGGTGCAAATCATATGGGAAAAAAAGCATTTGATGAGTGGACCCATGCACCCACAATGATTTTTGCGGGATTTAGAACCAACAGACCCCAAATCACTGTGATTCTGTTTTCACCTCATATGCACGAAATTGGAGCAACAATAAACACCCTCAAAAAGTGTGATTTGAGCATAAAATGTAGAATACAAGGATCAATTTAAAAAGGATTTTTCAGTAAAATTAATTGAAGCATTTATTTAGAACTGATTTAGTCTCTCTCGCCTTGAACTGCAACAATGAGAGAGCAACCCCCAAGATTAAATTTTCAGACACCGCATTTGTTATTTTCATCAATCATTTCAAGCAGCTGGTGTGTGTGCGTGTCTGTGTGTGTGTGTGAGAGAGAGAGAGAGAGAGAGAGAGAGAGAGAGAGAGAGAGAAGAGAAGTAAGTAGTCGACAACAACAACAACTAATACGTAACCTAACTTCGTTACGACGAAGAGTAGTAGGTAGTAAGGTAAGTAGAAGTATACTACGTAACGTAAAC